CATAAATGTGCAGGGGGATCTCCCGGAATGCAATTCCGTAGTCCCAAAGTAAACATACAGGGGAACTCCCGGGATACCGTCCCGTAGTCCCAAAGTAAAAGTGCAGGGGGATCTCTCGGAATACCGTTCCGTAGTCCCAAAGTAAACATGCAGGGGAGCTCCCGGGATACCGTCCCGTAGCCCCAAAGTAAATACACAGCAACAACAAGAATTCAATCCAATCAATTTCATATCAAAGTGAAGCAGGTAATCCTAACCTAGCATGGTTCACGTAATACAATTAAGGCAGTTAAGGAAAATAGAGCAATTTAGTCAAGTAGACATGCTTCCCTAGGCTACAACAGGTTTAGTTTCCAAACAGTGTAAGTAAGAAAAGGAATAACACAATTCAAGGCTATTTTTAATGAAAAACCGGATTTCCAACAATTAGCACAAGTACACGCTCGTCACCTCACGTACGAGGCATTTCAATTACCACAACGTCAATCCTAAGGGGAAAGGTCCCCCACACAAGGTTAGACAAGCCACTTACCTCGAACCGGCTCAAAATCAACCCGAGATCACGTCTTTGCCACGAGTATTCGACTCCAAATGGCCCCAATCTATTCAATTCAATTTCATAATATAAATAACACCTCAAGTAACTGATTCCACAATTAAATTCTAAGCTAATACGCAAAATTAGGTAAAATGACCAAAATGCCCCTCAGGACCACGTCTCGGAATTGGGTAAAATTCATATTTTCGGAATCTCATACTCTCACGAGTCTATGCATAACAAGAACACAAAAAATCGGAGTTCAATTGACCCCTCAAATTCTCATATAAAGTCTCTTAAATCCCAAACCCTAATTCTTCAATTGTTGGTCTAAATTCCATGATTTACTAGGTAGATTTCACATTAGAAACGAGTTTTAAGACCAAGAATCTTACCTCCAAGCGTTTCCCCTCGAATCCTTCTTCTATCCCCGTCAAAGAGCTCCAAAAACGATTAGAAATGGTGGAAATAAACCCCCAAGTCGCGGAACCTCTTTTAAAATAATGCCCACCAGTTTTCGCATCTGCGGTCCTGGGACCACATCTACGGTCCCGCTTCTGCAGAAAATATACCGCATCTGCGGTCCCGCTTCTGCGGAAAAACATCGCATATGCGGTCCCGCTTCTGCGGAAAATATACCGCATCTGCGGTTTCTGAAGAGATGGCCAAAATTTCGCTTCCGCGGCCGCTTAGCCGCTTCTGCAGCGCCGCACCTGCGGAACCCAAACCGCAGGTGCAGTTATGACAGCACCAGCAGCTGAAGCTGCAACTTAAACTCCAAATTTTCCTCCGTCAGCCATTCGAATTCACCCCGAGGCCCCCCGGGACCTCAACCAAAGGCACCAACAAGTCACAAAACACTACCCAAACTTGTACCAATCCTTAAAACACCTAAAGCAACATCGAAACCTCGAATTGACTGTGGATTTAAGCCTAAGAACTCCAAAATTTCTCAAAATACGCTTTCGTCAAAAAGTCTATCAAACCACGTCCGAATGACCTAAAATTTTGCACACACGTCCCAAATGACATAACGAAACTACAATAACTCTCGGAATTCCATTCCGATCCTCGGATCAAAAACTCACTATCGAACCGGAAACTTCAAAATTCGACCTTTCGACATTTCAAGCCTAAATTAGCTATGGACCTCCAAAACACAATCCGACCACGCCCCTAAATCCAAAAGTACCTAACAGAGCTAACGAAACCCTCGGATTTCAATTCCAAGGCCATCTTCACACTGTTCCGACTACGGTCAACTTTCCAACACTTAAGCTCTCATTTGGGAACTAAGTGTCCCAAAACTCCCGAAACTCAAAACCGAACGTCCCGGCAATTCAAAATAGCAGAAATAAACCCGGGGAAAATAGTTAATAGGGGATCGGGGCATTAATTCTTAAGACGATCGGCCGGGTCGTCACATCCTCCTACACTTAAACATTCGTTCGTCCTCGAACGAGCATAGAGACATACCTGAAGTGAAGCTGCTCATGGACCAAACTGCTGAGCGACGCGCTAGAGCTCAAAACGACCGGTCGGGTTGTTACACAGACTTTCAAGGAAAGGAGAGACTAGAGACTCACGTCAAAGACCTTTGTATTTTTTAAGTATTCTTTTCTCCCAGATACTCACTTAAAAAAAACTCTCAAACTCTCTATTATTTTTGTGTTCTTTTTTTGAGTGTCCAGGATGTTCAGACTATCTCCCAAATGATATGGAAAGACCTCCCCTTTATAGGAGAGGAGGGCTGGGGCAGATTTTTGTTTTACCAAAAATCTGTCAAAATGATAGCTTTTTTGACAGAAAATCTGTCCAAAACCAAAAATCTACCCAAGAAACAGTTTTCCCTACCAACTGTGGACAGAATTTTGGAGTATTGCACTCGCAGCAGTCCCGAACAGTAAAACCAAACTAACAAAGGCCCTACACTCAAGTACCTTCTACTATCCTTACAAACCAATATCAAACTAAACTATTGCTTCAAACTGGAAGGTGCAAAATCAGATAACTAGACTTGAACCATTAAACTAACAAAAGAATCTAATGACTATAAACAAATAAAACATGTAGTTAAGCCTAAACTAATTAGCTTAAACATAGACAAAACTAGAACTACTAAACCTGAAAACCAGAGCTTAAACCTAATCATAAACAAATCGATTTCTTTATTTAAGGCTAAGCAAACAATTTAATACAAAAACGCAGCAACGAGACTAGACTAAACACTAAACATACTTGACCTAAAAGACTAAATATTAGTTTAAAGGAAACCAAAGATTAATTAATCTAACCTAATCATAGATTATACTGCCTGATAAAAAAAACATGAGTAGCATATACTAATCTAATGTACCTACATGTAACTACACTTAAAACGTTTAAACAAAGTTTAAGCCAAACAACCTAAGGATAGATGACTAATTAATAGCGAGTGCACAAGTAATCGACGTTCATAAATCAAAAATCGTGATCCGTCATATTCCGTGTACGTAGTTGTGTAATTCAAGTTGCATAAGAAAATTAAAAAATAAAAAATAAAATTCTAGGAAATTTAACAAAAGGTAAGAATTATTGAGCAACCCTCAAGTATAAAGGGTTAGGCATATTTAAAGCATGCACTTGGACGCTTGAGGCGTAAGCCTCCCAAAACAAAACCCTACACGTGAGCCTCAAGTGTTTTGCAAGTGTTACTCCTAGGGGCGGGCCCCACACGTGAACCTCATGCATTTTACAAGTTTTACTCCCAGGAGCAAGCCCCACACGTGAGCCTCAGGCGATTTGCAAGTAAAAATTGCACGGGGCGCCCTTGGTCGCCCCCATTTAACCTATATCCATTATTTAAAAAAGTTTTAACTTGTACCCACTTTTTAAACAACTTCGGCCCCCTTTCTCCTCCTCCTTCTCCTCCTTCGTTTTCTTCTTCTTCTTCTTCTTCTTCTTCTTCTTCTTTCTTCTGCTGCTGTTGGTGCTGCTATAAAACTTCAGTTCATGGGATGATTGCCATAAATATGTTTATCAGATTATTTAAAAATAAATTATAAATAATTACATAATTTAGTAGACAATAAACTGTGAATATTTCCACGTACGTAAGTTAGTAGACAATGATAATTCTACTATTTTCATGTTTACTGTTTCCAAACTTTATGATTTAGATAATGTTGGCAATCTGATTATTTATCTAGTATGTTAGAAAGCTTTTTAAAAAACTTCAGCTTATATCGTGCTGAAGTTTTTACAAATGAACTAAATAACTTCAGCATCTTCTGCTGAAGTTTTTGAAAAAGCTTTATGACAAAATTAATGAATTCAGGACCAAAAAACTTCAGCTTTTAGTGCTGAAGTTTTTACAAATGAGCTAAATAACTTCATCTGCTGACGTTTTTTGAAAAGCTTATCCAGGACAAAAAAACTTCAGCTTATTTAGTGCTGAAGTTTTTATAAATGAACTAAATAACTTCAGCATCTTCTGCTGAAGTTTTTGAAAAAGCTTAATGACAAAACTAATGAATCCAGGACAAAAAAACTTCAGCTTATTTAGTGCAATTACAAACAAAAACTTCAGCAAATAGAGAACAAAACTTCAGCTACTATGCTTAAGTTCAGCAATTACAAACAAAAACTTCAGCAAATAGAGAACAAAACTTCAGCTACTATGCTTAAGTTCAGCAATTACAAACAAAAACTTCAGCTACTATGCTTAAGTTCAGCAATTACAAACAAAAACTTCAGCACACTTGGTTCATCACACTTGCTACTTCAGGCCCGTCTACTAGAATGCTGAAGTTTTGCGTGATTGCCTTTGCTACTTCAGCCCCGTATGCTGAAGTTACGCGAAAAAGTGGGTACGCTTGCAATTTTTTTTCAAAGCGGACACAAGTTAAAACGTGACCCAAAAAACGGATATAGATGCAAAATCCCCGATTTGCAAGTGTTACTCCAATGCCATTAATGGTTCAAGCTGGACTATCAGCTTTAGGCCCAATTCTCCATCCAAAAAAAGCCCTTAAAACTCTAATGACTTGGACTTAAGTTTGAAATTGACAGCAAAATCATGGGCCTACTCAGACTTGGGTACCAACACTCGTCCCAAGCCCAAAAATCCAACAAGAAATATCTCATCTAGTGGGTCCCACATGTTGATCGCCTTCTCAGAATCCCACCTAAGAAAACCACCTATGGTAAGTAAAGAACCCTATAAAACCACCTACTATAGATTTTTGGTACATTCTGCATTACAAGTTGTACATCTCTGATAATAAGGTCAAATTCCCTTTTTCAGATTCCAACTGCCTAACTAATCTAATTCCCAATTTTACCCCTCCATCACTTAACTCACCTCCTCATCTAATGGCTATAAATTAAACACATAACAAAAAAACACTATAAAAAAGTAAGGTCAAAGAAAACACTATAAAAAAAGGTGGACAGTTTTGCAAAATCCTGTGGATTCCTTCTCTTTAAAACCCACCTACAAAATTTTAGCTGACAATTTCAAGAAAACCATGGGCAGTTTAATTTATCCAACACAAAACCAGCTGCTCATTCTTTGTATAAACCCCTCATACAAATCCATTCACAGTATATTCCACCCTCAAAAAAAACAACTAACCAATTCTTTCTTTCTTTCTTGCACTTTTAGCCAGCTTTTTCTTCAAAGTTTTTAACTTTTGTTCAGTGCAAAAAGAAGTCTTGGTACATTGTGATGTTTACTTAACCTTCTCTCATTTTAGCCTTTTAATTCTTGGGTTTTGAGGTACTTTATTTTTCCTTCTGGTTTTGGTCCCATCTATTTTTCTTGTCCATTTGAATTTTGAAGTGATATCATAGAATTTTGCTTAGTGGGGTTTGCAAGATTTTGATTTTTTTTAATTATTTTGATGGATTCTGGTAGTATATATTCAAATATTGGTCCTGGTATGTTAGGACTAGAAATGTCACTACACCATCAAATCCCTCAACAAAATCCTCACCACATGCAACAACAACAACAACACCCCACCCACCTCCAACCCCCACCCCCACCCCACCCTATAGTTTCCTATGGACATCAAGAAACTGAAAACCAACAACAGCAACAGCAATCTTTGAGACAAGGTTTGCCATTTGGTAACAAGGCTAAAAATCAAAGCTTGACATTTAGTGATGAAGATGATAACAACAGTGTTGAAGATGGGAAGAGGAATAAAACTTGTCCTTGGCAAAGAATGAAGTGGACTGATAATATGGTAAGGTTATTAATTATGGTTGTTTATTATATTGGTGATGAAGTTGGTTCTGAAGTAAATAATAATAATAATGATACTAATAATAGTAAGAAAAAAGGTGGTGGTAGTGTAGGGGTTTTACAAAAAAAAGGAAAGTGGAAATCAGTTTCAAGAGCAATGATGGAGAGGGGATTTTATGTATCACCACAACAATGTGAAGATAAATTCAATGATTTGAATAAGAGGTATAAAAGGGTTAATGATATTCTTGGAAAAGGGACAGCTTGTAGAGTTGTGGAGAATCAAAATTTGCTTGAAACAATGGATCAGTTGACACAAAAATTGAAAGAAGAAGTTAAGAAATTGTTGAATTCTAAGCACTTGTTTTTTAGGGAAATGTGTGCTTATCATAATAGTTGTGGTCATAATAACACTAGTACTGGCGGTGGTAGTGGAAATGTTCAACTTTCGACAGAAGTGGCTGTTGAGGCTAATACTCAAACTCAGAAGAGGTGTTTGCATTCGTCCGAAAATGCAAGAATTGAGGTCCATTTAGAAGAAGGGACTAAAATGGCTAAAGGGAAAAGCGCAGACGATGATCAAGATGAAGATGAGGAGGACGAGGATGAAGATGAGGAGGAGGACGACGATGAGGAGGTGAGTGGTGCAAGAGGAAGACATGAACACCATCATAACCATGTCAACGAATACGACGATGACATGGATGAAAGATCAAGAAAGAGGCAACGAAATTCGGGTTCTTTATCACCAATGGTACAACAATTGAGTAGTGAATTAGCTAATGTAATTCAAGATGGAGGGAGGAGTTCAGTTGAGAAGAGACAATGGTTGAAAACTAGAATGGTACAATTGGAGGAACAACATGTTGGCTATTTATGTCAAGCATTTGAGCTACAAAAGCAAAGGTTGAAATGGGAGAAATTTACAAGTAAAAAGGAAAGGGAAATGGAAAAGGAGAAGCTTATAAATGAGAGGAAAAAATTGGAGAATGAAAGAATGGTGCTTTTACTTAGGAAAAAAGAGCTTGAGCTTCTTGATTTTCATCAGAATCATAATAGAAATGGTGACCCTTCTTCTGTAACAGGATGAAAAAGTGTAACAATATTAGCAGCAGCAGATTAGATACAATGTGTAGATAAATATTTGCTTTTGCCTTTTCTTTTTCTTTCTAAATTTTAATCTTGAATCAAGTTTTTGATGTAAAATCTAAGTTTGAAGAAAACTTGAATCTAGCTTCTACATAGTCTTGAAATATCAAGTTCCTAGTCTGTTCTGTTTTTACTTTCATCTATATGAATCACATTTTTTGTTTTCTTGGATTCATCTTCATTTTGTTGGTTCATTTGTTTTGTCTTGTTTTGTTTTCTTCTTTTGGGGGGTTGGGAGGAGAGGGTGGTGGGTGGGTGGTGGGTGTTAGAGAGTCATGATACTTGAGTTGTCCGTAGTATAGCTACCACGGGCAGCCCGGTGTACGAGTCATTCGATGTTCACCCGGAGTTCGGGGGTGTACGAGTCATTCGGTGTTCACCCGGAGTTCGGGGGTGTACGAGTCATTTGTGTTCACCCAGAGTTCGGGGAAAGGTCGCATCCGGCAACATCCATTATTCACGCAACGTTCGGGAAAGGGCTGCACCCGTAAGAGTTCGGGGGTGTACGAGTCATTCAGTGTGCACCTAGAGTTCGGCGAAAGGTACATCCAGTGTTCACGCAACGTTCGGGGAAAGGCCGCACCCGGTATTAGGTGTTCACCGGGGAAGTATCCATGATGTACAACTACTACATTATAATTTATCACCAAATAAAGATAGGCGAAGAGAAGTTGTATTAGTCATCAAATCAAGGTAATGAACCACTAACTAAAAATGCTATAAAGATATAATTTTGCAGACTATGACGGTTTCTGTATAACGTTAATAGGTTTATTTTGATATTTTACAAAGTGGACTGACATTAATTTTTTTAATAGAGAAAATAAAAATGGAAGCACGCCCAGTGGGACTCGAACCCACAATCGCTTGATTAGAAGTCAAGCGCCTTATCCATTAGGCCATGGGCGCTTCTTGTGGCATCCTCATCGTTGTGTATTTATTATAGATCTTCTTGATTCAATAAGGAAAGAATTACAAGAAAATACACATGACTTCACACTATAACAAAAAATGGCCCATATTTTTCAAGTTTTACCCGATCTAGCCCATGTTGTACATATATATTACTACATATAAATCTTATTGATTCAATAAACTAGTCGAGCAAGGTGAGATCTACAGTAAAAATTATCATTGTCCATGTTTCATTTAAGTTCTCTCACTCAAATATTTTTAAATTTTAGTTTCTCTATATTTTATGTGGCATATAAGTCTGAAAAAACTAAAAATAAAATATCCTAATGTATATAATAGACCTAAGCTAAACGTCTACCTCACGCAAGGTAGGAGTAAGGTATGCGTGCATTCTATCCTCCTCAGACTCCACTTGTGGGATCACACCGAGTATATTATTGTTGTTGTTGATGCTAAACGTACTAACATCAATTTAAAACAGAAATATATGACTAGCCGATTAATTTTTGTCTCTCAATATGCAATTATATGATATGCAAGTAATTTAATGCGAGTTTTTCTTATAAGCTAAGAAAACCAGAGTTCCGAATCTAAAATTATGATTGTCCTTTTTGAATGAAAGGAACAATAATTTTTTGATTTTTTTTTTTTTTTTTTTTTTTTGGCTACAAAAGACATATTTTATATATTAACTAGCTGATATAAAATGTGACCTTCTTATCAGTTCCTAATTTGAAGGATCATTAACATAGTAATCATATACAAATGAGGGTGTGGGAAGTAAAACATAGTATACAGTCATACTTAAGACAAAATATCGACCACAGTATTGTTAGTAGGTAGTCGAGTGTATTTCTGTTCCATTCCTGTAGTGTTACTATTATCCTAGTATTTTCTTATACCTAGAGCTTTAGTACTATTGTATGTCGGAAACAACCTCTCCATCTTAACAAGGTAAAGGTAAAGTTTGCGTACATACTACCCTCCTCAAACCTCGCTTGTGGGATTACACTGGGTTTGTTTTTGTTGTCAAAGCGACGTGAATGAAAACACACTTGCAACAAATTTATTACTAATATCTCAACATTAATCAAGTTTCTGCAGGAGAATAAGCTCCAAATAGAACATGAACATCTCCATAACACAGGGGAGAGGACAAATGAACATGACTCCTATACCTGATATTAGGGAAGAACCACCACCAAAATAATTATGATGTTTTCAACTACTGCAATTTCTTTCAACAAGAATTGCCCAACATACAACAATAAGATATCACATCCAAAAAAGGAGGATAATTAAGCCTAACGCATTAATCTTCGAGCTCAATAATCTTAACCACTGATGCATCTCCAACTTTCTGGCAAATGACCACTCGATCGTGGGACTTTACAACTCCTGAGGCCTTCCCATGATCAAGAGCAACTTTCAGAACCGACTCATTTGATGCGTTTGTAGACTCGGCCTATGGAAAGAATAAGTAGCTTGGTTAGGCCCAGTGGAAACAAGAAGAATTAATCGAGATCGACATGATGGAAATAAAAGAAGCAGATTCAGTTGTTCAATGACAGAAGCATGTTTAATGTTCATAATAAATAAATAAAAAGGGCAGCCCGGTATACAAAGCATCCAGCGTTCCAGGGCCCGACCTCAAGGGGGTGTGATGTAGGCAACCTACCCCGACGCAAGCATACGTCACACAGAAAGAACTTGACCGTTGCTCCAAGGCTCCCCTTCTTTCATGTTCATAATACTCGAAGGAAAACATGGGATGCAATAACTGGAGTGTTTTTCAGTTCTAAAAATTAGGCAATCTCTCTGGGATTTGGATGAAAAGAGCCATACAACAGCCCAAGGACAACTAAGAACAAATATTCTAACTAAGAAGACTATAATGTAAGCAAATATTGCCATGCTGAGGTCATCTCTAAACCAAATAAACGCAAAGGTAATGCAAACCTATGTTGCTCGGACTCTTAAAAAATGTTGCTGGGGGCGTGTCGGATCCTCCAAAGTAGTGCATTTTTTTGAGGATTCGACATGGTTGCGGCAATATTTTTGGAGAGTCCGAGCAACATAGATGCAAACAGAAAATATGGAACACCAAGATGACGAGACTTACAGGATGTCGAGGATCAGCAAGCATTGGGAAGAGACCTCTAACAATAAGAGACTGCCTTGCCTGGGTATGGAGAAGTTGAAAAAAAACAAAAAACCGTCAGCTTCAATGTCATAAAAACAATAGGGAAATTGCATATACTTGTTTGGTGGCCAATAAGTATAAGCAAATAGTAAAATCAGTAATTGACTTCAAGTGAAATACTGAAACACTAATGAATCATTGAAATACTATTTTGAAAGTTTATTTGTTAGTCTAACTAAAAAACCACACATTCAAAAAGTATAGATCAATATAACTAAGCAAACACGTCCACCAGCAAGAACCAATAGCATGCATATGAAAGAAAGAGAGCAACAAAAGTAACAGCAACCATCAGCAAAATTAAGAATAAATACAACCAGTTATCACAAAATACATTATCATGTCTTTAGTCATAACTCGAGACAAAAACTGATTGGAGTACCTTCTCTATTGTTATCTAAAAGGATTTTATGTTACAGAAAATCATCCATTCATAAAAATTGAACGATAATAAGTAATGAAGCAGACATATATCAATAAGAAATGTTTTGTGAGGAAAAGAATAGTCATTCTCAATCAAATGCAATGAAGATATCTGAACATCATGAGCTGAATTTGATTCTTGAACAGACTTGATGTCAAGAGGATACCTCAAATGCACCGGTGAAACTCCACTTCAATTGATTTGTCTTGAGTCGAGGAATTACAACAGACAATACTGGCATTGTTGGCCTATATTTGGCTATCAATCTGTGCACATGAAAATGACAATTTACAGCTCTTATAAAGAAAATAGATAGTAGAAATTCTAAGAAATCTAGAAGGAACATAGAGACTACCGTGCTGCCCTTCCAGATGAAGTGAAACAAATAATTACTGATGCTTTCACCTTAATCGCTGCCCGCACCTAAAAAGAGGAAAGTGATTAAAATTCCAGAAGTCTCTCCTCATTCCAAGAAAGGGAGTCGTGTTCAAAACAATACCGCAGAGGAAGCAATTGATTCCAGGTGCGTCATGGGCTCCCCAACAAATTTGACCGTCTTCTTGAAATATAGATCTTGGTTAAAAACCTTCTCGGCCTGCACGGAATTTGATTGTTAATTAGGGCCACAGGTATTACTCTCCGAAACAGAAAGCCAGAAGGTGGTAAAAGCCACACTATGAGGGGGTGGGACTAAGTGTATCCCTCATCCCGAAAGGTGATGCTGAAGATACACTAATTACTAATATGCGATAAATTTTGACGAGTCAGAACCATACTGAGAAATATCTCTTGATACATCAAAGTGTCAACGAACCAATTACTGATCTCTTGACAGTAAATTAAACTATTAGATCACTCTACTCTGTAATAGAAAAAGACATGTTGCTGAGATACAGCAAATGTTTCTTCACTATGTAAAGGCAACGCAAATCTGATACAAGATATTTAAGAAGAGAAAAGAAAAGGCTTACATGGGGAGAAAAGAATTAAAGTACATCATTCAACTGAGCATATTATTAATCTCAGACACAATTATAGATTTCAGGATATGCAACTGACTTTTGGAAAGGCCAAGCTAAACAAGTCAAAATAAGGATAACCGTAAATATGCTGCTGAAAACAACCTCACAAAATTGAATGCAAGAAATCCATGACCAAAAAAGATAAGCAAGTGGTGAGTCTGGTCTTCTAAACATGATTCTTTAAAAGGTGATGTTTGAAAACCAGATATACACAGGTTCTCTTAATTTGCACAAAGGATAAGATAAAATGAAAATCACCTCGGCACAAATTCTTCCAACAGTAGAAATAGTCTCAATTGGGTATAATCCACGTAGAGTCTCAGCACCAAGAAGAATTGCATCAGTTCCTGCACAAATGTTAAATGTCAGTTCCAGAAAGTCAGAAACAAACTAACAAGATGTCGCATGAAAGATGACAGAAGGACCCCAAATCTTCGGACGTAATTAAGGACAGTAGAACCACTTAGATGGGCAGCAAGATTACCATCCAAGACAGCATTAGCTACATCTGTTGCTTCAGCACGAGTTGGCCTAAGATTGTCAGTCATACTATCAACAACACGTGTTACCACAGCAGGCTTCCCAGCCATGTTACACTTGTGAACAGCAGCCTTCTGGAACAAGAACACCTGTATAACACTCAAAAATCAGCCAAATGACAATCCTAATAGGAAATCTACTTATTTGTCGTCATCCTCTACTCCATAACATCTTTGCTACACACAAGAGATGGAACAGAATGTTTTACGAACAAACTTTCCTGATCACTTACAAGAAATCTAACTTAATCATGCCTCGTAATATATAACCCCAACAGGTATGAAAATTTTCTGAGATATTTACACATGATTTACAAAAGAAAGTGCCTGAATTTTGCAGAAGATAACTTACCTTCTCTGGTGGGAGATCTATACCAAGGTTTCCACGCGAAAGGATGATGCCATCAGCCTCTTGGAGTATCTCATCAAAATGTGTCAACCCCTATGTGTATCACCCAATGAAAGAAGTGAATTGCAAGCATTGCAGATTATTTCATGATAATTCAACGACCAATCTCACAAAGAATTATCCAGAAGAAAAAGAAAAAGATCAGACAGAAGATAATAGTTTACCAACTAACCTCGACGCTTTCGATTTTGGCGAAGATCTGAGTTTGGCCTAGATCACCCAGCTTAGATAAGAATTCACGCGCCTGAATTTAAGAAAAATATACCAATGAGGTTGATTTGGTATTCAAACTGTTGCGAACGTAAATAAATAAATAATGTTGTCCTCTCTCCACAGTTTAGCGTTTAGATGAGGTGGTCACATAAATGAACATGGTATCAAAGCAGAAAGTTCAGAAGTCAAAGATTAGAGCCTCACTACTAAGAAACAAAAATGTTTCCACATACTGGCCAAAGAAAAGAATCAAACATATGTGTGGGCGTGTTACATACCTATACAACAAAATAAAAATAAAATACTCTCTATAGCACCTTAAGCTTTTAGATGAGGTTGTCACACAAATTCAACACTAACCATCAACAATGACATGATAATTGCGAATCATCAATGTGGTTTAACGAATCCAAGAAAATTGAACAACAAAAGGAAATAGATATAAAATTGTGCAATCATTACCTCACGCACATCCTCAGCATGCCTGGTAAATGATAATGAAAGAAAATCAATTTTGTTTTGGGCACCCCAAGTGCTAATAACCTGTTTCAATTAACATACCAAAAACACCACGATCGATTTAAAAAGGATCGCTGCAGAAAGCCATTAACAATGCAGAAAATAGAAAATTTAAGTAGCTTAAGGGAGGGAATTCGGCATAACTCCAAGATAATATGCTTGCATTGACATTAGTCAATAGCACAAATACCGAAGATAAAAAGGAATCCCTAAACACTGTTGACTGTGCTTAAATAAATTTTCTATTCCAAGAAAAAAGGACATAATTTTGTCACAAGCAAGATAATCAATGTGGATCTTGAATATGGGATGAGTATAAACACTGTTGACTGTGCTTAAATAAAAGCTATTGGCTGAATGTTGCTAAAAAAAGTGGGAAGATAATGAGACAAAGATATTGGTAGCTTCCATCAACCCATGTTTACCTAACTAAAGAAGGAATCACACCCATCGTAAGACTCATCTGATTCAGACTAACTAAACACAAAGCCCTATTACATTTTCTATTAAATAGATGAGAAAATTTGACACTTCTATAAGTGCCCAAGTCCCAACAATCGACGAACATATTTACTCAACCCCCAAGTCTCGCAGAAATTTTTCCATAACCATGTGGGCGTGTAACATGAACTTCAGAATATGCACACGTAATAACAGGGTGAGTTTTATCAGTTCTCTGAAGTTTGAGCAACTTACCTCCTTATCTTTATCTGAGAGGGTCGGTAAATCAATATGAATCTGAGAAGCGTGTAGAGTGAACAATGACCCGGTTAATGTGGCAGAGTTCTTTACCACACAAACTACATCATCCCCTTTCACTTCATCTACCTGTGCAACCACATTTGAATTCTTAATCAGCGGATTCAAACCTTATACTGCTTTCTTACTGGAGCAGTAGAAATGTAATAATTGTGTGGGAATACACTGGGTCATTGTTGTTGTTGTTGTTGTTGTTAACATATTTAAAATCTACTAATCGATCAACTTAAACATAAAAAGGACTAGCTAAACCCAAGGATAGATAAAACACAGGGCGACTAAGGCAAATAAAGTACGCTTTTTACGTTATACCTCCAGCCACACAGATGTCGTTTCACTTCCTGTGAAGAGGTATTGACCAATAAAAATGGTGTCTCCCTTCTTCACTGCCTGCAAGCAAAATTAACTTCATAAATTAGCATCATGAAGTACATTCCTCCCTCCCGGTCCACAATATGATTATGTTCTCTCCATTAAATACACATTGAATTTGCTCTTTTTCACTTCCTCTGGGAGAAAAACTCTTATGTTTACCAAAACACACTATGGTGTAAAGGGAAAAGCAAAGACAACAGATGGGAACTGAACCTTGGATAATCCGCCGAAATTGATTGGAAACACATCAGAAGATGCTTCCTGTCCCTCATCAGGAGTAAGAGTAACAGTTGCATCTGCCTTTAATGAAATAGGTTGCTCACTTTTGTTAACAACCTGTAGCTCAGGACCGGCAGTATCTAGCATGACCTGACAAGATGAAAACAAAATACCCTTTGTCAAATTACTGGACAATGCTCAACATGTCCAATGACACAAGACATAGTAACTAAATCCTTATCTAAAGACTATGCATACTAAGGAGGGAGAGTACATGATCTACAAATTTTAACCATAACTAAGCACAATTGCAAGATAATACTTCCTTCCTCTCAAAATTAACAACACTACTACTAACAATCAAAAAAAAAAACACTACTACTATTTGATGAATCACGCAGTTTATGATGTCAAATATATTTAAATATTCTTATCTAATCAACTTGTGACTTTATATAGTTTCTGCATTAAAAAAATCTTAACTTATACAAAATCAAGTAATTAATTTCGACATCACACTGAAATAATAAATGCGTTGACCCTCTAGTTCAAACCCCACCATTCCTTTTAGAACAGAGGGAGTATATTGTTTACCTTCATCAAATCAACACCTCTACAAAGATAAGGACAACTAAAGAAACCAAAAATCGCATCAAGTCATCATTATAAGGTCATACATACCGCACAGAGCTTCTTGGTAGTCTTAATAGAAGCCTTCAAGTTCTCCAAAGTCTCCTGGTGATAGTCCGCATCACCCAACGAAAAGTCAAATCTTGCCACTACAAATACAACAAAATTAAACGATGAAAAACAACCCTTTCAAAATTTGAACATTAGTCTACCACAGCCCAATTGATTTAATGAGTTGGAAATCTAATTATTCTTACTTATTTAATGGATCTTTCACCATATGCATATATATGGGGTCCGAGTCAAAACTACTAAGTCATAATCTACATCTTACACGGTTACACCATTCATCACAACATACCCACGAAAATCTAAGAAACATAAAAATTTCAACTCCGGGATTCTACCACAGCCCATTTGATTTGGAAATCTCATTATTTCAACATATATACGGGGTCCGAGCCGAAACTACTCAATCATAGTCTACATCTTACACCATTCATCACAACATACCTAAGAAAATCCAACAAACAATAAATTTCAAGTTCCGGATTTTACCACAGCCCATTTGATTTAAGGAGTTGGAAATCTAATTAATTATACTTAATCGTTTAGCATATATACAAGGTTCGAGTCAAAGCTACCAAGCCATACTCAACATCTTACACCATTCATCACAACATAATAATAAAGTTGACGAGTTTCAAGATAATTACCAGACATTCCGGCTTTCAGACAACCTGAAATAACCTCAACGGATCGAGATTTTGGTCCCAATGTTCCAACAATCTTCGTCATTGCAGGAAAAAAACTCTACAAACAAAAAAATACAGATCATATGAAAATACAGATCTAGAAAAAAGATGGTTATTATTTTTTTTGGAGAGGAGACTTACAGATTTGGAAGGCTCCAAAATGGAAGCCATTCTAATGGGTTCTTCAAGAAGTAAGTGATTGGAATGCATGGTTTGGTTTATAGTGTAAAATTACAGAGAAAAATGAGAAGCTTTATTTTTATAGAGAGAGAAGAAAAGTCAAAAGATGCAAAGGAAATGAAGATCAGAAGAATTTATATGCTAGCTATTCTATGCTGTTGTGATTCGACTATGAAGGAACTAACTATTAGTATTATATGATGAACAGAGAGCCAAAACTGAATAGTATAAAGTAATTTGGTATTGTTTCGGTTCTTTTTGTAGTGTGTGTGTAGACTGCAAAGCACGTGCCAAGGTATTGGTAGGGTGGTGGGGCTTTTAGTTATGTTTCTTCTCTATTCCCTAAAAGAAATTCTTTTTTGAAAAAAAAATAGTATGCATCCCATTTCCCCGAGTCATGTGACCACTAGGTAACGGTATCGAGCTATGAAAACATCCTCTTGTAAAATTATAAGGTAAAACTGCGTACAGTAGACCCTTGTATTTCGGTCCTTCTCCGAACCCCGCACATACCGAGCACTTAATGCACCAAATTGCCGCTTTTTTTTAAAAAAATGCATTCCACTTCATTTCTTTGTAGACGGTGGGGTCTAGGTAGCTTGCATGAATTCGAGGCTAGCATTGAAGAAGTACCAGTGTTCCAATTGTAAGTTACCATTTTGTTCATGACTTATATTTTCGTTTATGTATATTCATGTATTTCCTTCATAGTTGTATTCCATTTCTTAGTTTCACATAACTTGTAACATCAGTTCTTGGGTAGTTTATTTTTATTTCCTTATTTATCTAATGATATTCGATTTGAGATGTGTTATGTTGGTTGGTTTGCCTAGTGGATCGAAGTTAGGAGCCATTACGATTTTGGTGGGATTTGATTTGTGACAAGTTGGTAACTTAATTATTTCACTGGATACATATTACTTTTTATGCATAGTTATTGAGCAACTTTGAATACCTAATTTTTTTGTTTTTACTGGGATTTGAATATGAGAACTCGTAATTTTTCTCTCATTTTATTAATCATTAGGTAATATCCTTGAGTTTTATTTCGATTCATATGACGGTGATTGATTGGATATGACATTTAAAATCAGCTTACATATTATATTAGTGGTAGTGAAAGATAATAGTAACAATATAGTTTAAATGTTAGTTTATTTGAGAAAACATCACGTCAAATTTTAAATCTAAATAATTTAATGGATCTGAGTTCTAAAAATCTGTGAAAGTTGAATAGAATTAAAATAAACTAAACACATTCGAGAGTAAAAGAGGGGATATATATATATATATATATATATATATATATATATATATATATATATAAGTTATATTAAGTTTTAGGGAGACGGATACTAATAGGATATTTTTGTGTCACTATTGATTTTTTTATTCCGATAACAATTTTTTTTTGGAAAAATTGCTCGACCTCATATTCTAAAGCACGCTCGCCAGAATTTCAGCAAGTTATGGCGATTGTCATGATTTGTGGCAAAATTCTAATGATCACATTGGTAAAAAATCTGGTCATCATCATAATTTTGACACAAATCTTGACGGATTATCGTAATTTTTCAATATTGTGGTTGAATTTCTAGTACTTCAAAATTTTGGTGGTTGTCAAAACTTATTCCTAAAACTAGTATCCGTACCCGCGCGATGCGCGAAAAATATATAATATAATATTTGAAAAGAAAATATTATTTGTAATTTTTTAGTATTGAGCCTATACATTGACAATTGGAAGGGACTATAAGATCAGCAAAAACAAAGGTAGAGCTTTCAAATTATAATTTGAATTCTTGGCATCAACAGTAGTAGCAGATGCTGTATTTATAAATAGTAGTATAGATTCATCAACAGCTCCAAAGGCTAACTCGTACCTGGGCAAATACTTAAACTCCTATTAAATAATTAGATGTAAATATCTCCATATCATAATGTATAGATATGTGAAGAATGCAGTCATATTCACCAAGGCATTCTTGACAGTTGAGCCAAGGTAGGCCTTAATTTCATGTCACCCTGTACAGATGTATCAGTAAACCTCCTGCCAATAAGCCGCTTTACATCCAATGAGAACTGCATAATATAACTGAAATCATATAAATACTGCATGAATTACAACACAAAACCTATGATATGTAATGTGGACTAAACAAAACTAAGATGTGCTTCAGAGGATGAACAGGGATTTGACAGATTCTTTGGAATTTTCATGTGAGGCAACAAAGAATCAACTTGGCCACATGTTTTGTCATTTAAAGATACACTTTAGCGTTGTTTGTGTTGTTGTTTTTATTATTTATTTAAAAGGAATACTACATGTGGGCTTTATAACCATGCAGAGGAATCACAGATAAATGCTTCAAGTATTAAAACTGACCCAAGCTAGTCATAAAATATAAAGATGTAATGTCAAGTATAGAATCAAACAGACCTGAAAAATATTCCAATATAAAACGTATATGAAACAGAATGGAGTCAAAATTATGATTTACTTCTAGAAGGTGGAGTGCAATGCGTAACAATCAGGATAACTAAGGGACAAAACAAACAACACCAACAGAGTTTCTGGACTAAATGCATGCTTTATGACCGAGTCTGCTAAACATCTTAAATTGAACCTTATGACTTATGAGATTCAAATGAATACACACGGTCAAAGAACACATAAGCACCAAAAACTTCAAAAAGAACTATAACTGGTATGGATTTTACTCATTGTTTCCAGCAAAAAATGCAGAGCCAGGCCAATCTAGAGCTTAAGCAATCCAGAACAATTTCTAGATGTTCTTCTACAGGGATACATGGAGAGAAAGATTTATCAGCTATATTCTGCATTAGCAATTCTAGAGCAAGGAAAGCAACCATAGCAAAGGGAATGGCTGCTAGCTTTGCTTTATTTCATAAATTTATAGAGTGGAGCAACATTACCACCATTCACATCAACCTATATCATTAAGAAGGTGCAGCAGTTAGTACTATCACATATTGGTGGACTGTTTGTTGCTTCTATTTGCAAAAGAAACAGACTCAATTAATTAATAGGATGTATTATATTGATAATAAGTTGTTAGTGCTGGAAATTAGTAAAAAATTGTCAACAAAAAGTGTAAATTTTTTAGGATAAATATGCATATTTTCAGAATTTGCAGTAATTTCAGAGACTAAACAATTGTCAGCAAATATTGTAAATTTTTTTGGCAGAACATGCATATTTTTAGAATTTGCAGCAGTTTCACTGACATATAGGAGGAACATAATATTTTTTTCTTAGATTAATTATTAGGATGTATTATATTGGTAATAATCTGTTAGTGCTGGAAATTAGTAAACAATTATCAATCAGACGTTCAAAAACAGAAATAGAAATAAGATTACAATAGATAATCACTTCAATTAGATAGTTCTACCTATTTGAGGATTGCCATAGATTAATAAAGAATTGCGAAAGTAACGTTACAAATAGAAAGAGAATTAAGAGTACGAAGCAAATACTTTTACGCTTGCGTTTTCATGTACTTGAAAAGTTTTGAAAATTTATGAACCATAGCAACGGAGAAGAGGAAGTATATAAAAATAAAAGCAATTTTAAGTATCTTGTAAACTCTCATGTACTTGAAAAGTTTGAAAAATTTATGAACTATAGCAGCAGAAAAGAGGAAGTATATAAAAAATAAAAGCAATTATAAATATGTTACCTTTGCATCTTGTAAAATCAACTGCATAGACTATAGTATTTCTGGCTTGAAGCAATCCGGGATTTTCCACATTCGAACTACAACTTTCAAATTCTATTGCATCGAATTGCTTGAAATTTGTCTGATATCATGAAGTTTTGTAGCCATATTTGCAAAGTTCTATATTGTGAGTGATCACGCCCAACTATGCCTTATAAAAAGGACAATGCGGTCGTTGCAAATATAATCCGGTTTACAAGTCCGGAGTCGAATCCCACAGAGAACTAAGGTTTAGCTACAGCCGTTCACTATCACCAAGAAGACAAGCTTGAACAATTCCTAACTTATAGATATTAAGATTCTTCTGTTTAACTAATTAACTAATAAATTAAAATAGTAAATTAACAACTAACAATACTGAGGGTTAGAGAAAAGATTAAGGAGGTCTAGAGTTATGATTTCCCCAATTGTCGGAATCCTTCCCGCTATGTCTTCTATAATTTCGCCTAAGTATTCTCTACCGATCATGAGCACTCTTATTACCGTAACTCTCTCCCGAGTAATTACGACAATTTACTAGACGCACTCTCCCGAGATATGCTAGCTGGCTTTTAATACAGCTCACTTCAGATCGCACCCAAGGCTTCGTTATCCCTAATCCCGCCTTTAAACCCTCGGTTATTGATCCCTCATATACTCTGGGAGTGGTGTTGTTCAACAATTACCTAAATATGCACTCTCTCCCGAGTTATGCATACTAAATAGGCACAGCTAATTGAGAGATCTTCAATCAACCAGAATATAAACGTAGTTGAACAAATAGAGAAAAGCTATGGCTCAATTATATAAAAACCATAACAAGAATTTATCCTACAAAAGGTTCTATCAAAACTCTAGATAACAAATTAGCTATTCATAATAGTATGTAAAACTACAATACTAAAAGTCATAACCAACAATGAAAAAAATAGGAAGAGGAAGGAAAAAACTCGTAGAAGAATTCTCCGCCTTGCTCCCAATGTGTTCTTGCCTCCAAGGGTGTTGTCTAACCCTAAAGTAGTGTCTCCTCGCCTCCTTAGGTCTAATTTGTGTCCAAAATATGTCCCCCTGGTGTTCTTGGCCGGCCTCCTTTGTTTAATATAGGGTTTAGGACTTAAAATCCCATGTTTTGCACATAAGTCCCTGAAATTTCCGCCTCCTGCCGCGGTTTTGCCGCGGTCGCGGTGGAACCGCGGCCAAACATGCCCTCTGATTCTTCAGTTGTCCGCGACCATCTTCTACCGCGGTTCTGCCGCGGTCGCGGTGGAACCGTGGTTTTTCACCCTGTTCCGTTTGGAATTTGGAAAAATGTAAAACATGAAAGTTGTAGCCCTTTGAGTTAGCTTTCCAACCATATATTTTGGAGCCCAAATGGAGTTCTGAGCAAAAAGTTATGTCTATTTTACTAGACAGTGCGCAATATGCCTCCTCAAGTCTTCGTTCGTACTTAATTATCAAATTTGACCCCCGAACACGATCCCGGCTTAATTCCTTGAGCTTTTACTC